ATCATTGGTATTCAATTGAAAATACCATTACCTTACCAAATTAATGTTTCATACAAAGAATTTTAATATTAAATAAAATTAAATCATAAATTATAATTGTAGAAAAGAGATGCCTTGGGACAGAGTTTACTTGAACTATAATTCCGCAAAAAAGCTTGTATTTTAAAAATGTGCTAGTGTGGCAAGCTTAAATCAGAAACCTAATTTTGCATTCTATCATGTCACTGTTTCACTGAACATTAAAGGGCATGGTGTTAGACAAATTCCACCCTCTCAAAGTCTCTCTTGAAAGGTTTTAATCTATGATTACAAAACAAAGTTATTTTTAATATACAAGACATACGTACAGCTTGCATGAACTACTTAATTCCACTGCAATTGATCTTTTGGCAATTGATAGAAACACAACTGGATGTCCCTCTCAGAAAAATGAAACGGCTACAATCCTTTTGGTGGCTCTGACTTGTGGTTGGAGATCAAACTGAATGTAGATAACATAAAGTCAGTGTTGGGCAAACAGACAGATTCTTTGTCATTGTGTCATTAGAAAATGGACAGCAACAGGTTTTTAATGAGGTCTTGATGATTGTTAGGAACTCATACATAACACAGTGTGCATTCCAAGCAAGTGAGATAAATAAAATCCAAATTTTAGGGGAAGTTAAGCTATTTAAAATTAAAACATACACAAAATCTGTCATGTGGCATAGTTTTCTAAATGTTGTCCATTTCTCTACACTGCTTAACCTTGTCCATGTCTACAATCATAGGTGTTAGCAAGGTTGTCAGATGAACGTACTTCCTAAGGCAGGACACAATGTGTTTGTAGCAATACAGATTTTGACAGATTTATGTCTAAACTCTGTATAAATCCCTGGAGGAGCCTAAAAAATTATCTTCTATCCAGAGCATAACTAGCTGCACTGGGTTGCATAACAGTAGTGGGTCTGTCATCCACTTTCTCCGTAAAAGTCCTGTTCCTGGAATAGTCATAGCAGAAGCCAAGGATTCTTAATTTTAAAAATTTTCGTCATTCTTAAAGCTTTTTGGAAATTGCTTTCAAGAAGGACACTCCTGCAATATAAACTCCCAAAACCAATTCCAGCTCAAACCAATTTTCCCAGCTGAACTTCTTCTAAAATGCCACTACAGTATAACGCATTATCCAAAACAACATGAACAACTTTTTGAAGCTTTTGGAAAGTTTCAGTCTCTGAGTTGCCTTGACTCTTCTTTTGATGCCATGAAACATTTAGTAAGCATGTAACTGTATGTATCACGTTGCTTAAATATAGCATCATAAATATACCATTTCAAATATTCTGTGGTCCACTAGATGGCTCCTCACAAGTCCAAATGGAATAGATCTCCAATACTTTTTCTCCCAACACCATGGGAGAGGACTGGTGCAGGGTGTCTGAATTTCTTGGACAACTGCCTTTAAGAAATTGAACCTCATTGGAACTGAGGTCCCTTGCAATCTGTCAGTATCACATGAGCTGCTGTGAAATCTTCCAGACTCTTAGGCTGTCCCTAAAGAACTAACAAAATTTCTCATGAATTGAAGTAATATAAAAATCTTCAGCAAAAAGGATTTTAAAATGTTGACCGGGCTTTTAAGTAGGAGCATGAAGCACTTGTTCAAAGAGAAAGACATGTCTCCTTCTTGTTCATCTACTTTTAATTCAAAATGTTGCTCCTCTATTACTTGAAACTCACCTGAAACAGAGTGGAAGGAAAGGGGATTGCCTGTATTTTTATCCTTTTGAAAATGGAAATGTTTCAAAAAGGGTTTGGTGTTTCTTCCCACAGTTTAAATGATGTTCTTAAAAAGACTTTCTTTTCTATTAGACCTAAAATCAGCAAAATTCCTTTGGGAACTGCTGCTTTTTTATCTGTGTAAAAGTAGAACTGCAGCACCTGACATACAGATAGAATTCATTATTATAAGCTCAGACACAATACAGTAATAGATATATATACAGATGATTGCTAAGAGATAAATATTTCTATGTATGTGTGTGATAGTCATGCATTTATGACTCACATGCATGTATTTCATATTTAGAGACATCTCTATTTATGGATTAAAAGAGAATAGACTAGATTCAGGAGCTTACATGAATACAAACATATAAAATACTTACATGAATTACATCAAAATAAGAAAATGAAAATATATTTAGACATTTTATCTTTACCTAGCATTTAATATTTTCCATTTTTCTCTGAAAAACTTCCAAGCAAGATCCCTTCCATGTGGATTTCGAGCTACGTGGATTATCACATCAATTGCATCCTGATCCAGGACAACTTCTGAGTTGAGAGACAAATTCAAAAGCCTAGTGGGAGAAACAAGGGGAAAAAAATCCTATTTAGTTTCACTAACACATAGTCTAACAACAGCACATGAGAAAACTCTCAGAAGAAAAATGCCAAATGGTTTATTTAAGTATCCAGGTAAGTGCAGTGGTATATTTCCATGATTCCAAAGACCAGACACATTTCAGAATCAGAAAATCTTGATGTAAAAGGATTTCCGTAAAAGCTGAGTGGAATTTTACATGTGCATTTTTATGAAATAAGTAAGATCAGCCTGGTCAATACATTTAAATAAAGGATATGCTAACAAAAAATAATAGCAATTATTATAGGATTTCAAATATTTCCAATTAACACAGGAAAATTTGGAAATGCAAAGACATCGTATGTGTCAATTTTTCTATGCATTAAGGCAGAAACATAAGATAGTTTAACTAGACAGTAAGTCTGTGCTTGAAAAGCAAAGTTCATTCATTTACACCAAAGCTCAAGTGATGATCCATAAATGTTGAAGTGATTATTGGTAATAGTCAGATACAGACATACAATGTTTTTGTACCTGTTGAGCAAGTTTCTGTCATCACTGCAAGTTAAGGCTTCTAATAATATTTTCTTCTCAGACACTGCTGTCGTAGAATGAAATTTCATCCAAATGAACTCCCATACATCTTCATCCATCAGTGAAACTCCTGTACAGTAGACAATGTCTCTCACATTGAGTGGGATTCTACAAAAGAAATCAGTAATACCATTGTGGTAAATAAGCAGCCTCCTGATACTGGAAACAAAGGAGGAACACCACTACTCCAGAATTGAAGTGCAACAGTAATCTTTTTTTTGAAAATTACATTTGCATCTCTTCACTGACACCAAATTCTTCCAGGTCATCCTAATGGATTTTCTAATGATCGCTATTCTTTTCATAATGCTGTCATATTGCCAGGAGACTATAAATTATGATCATCCAGTTCATCAACACATAATGTGCCACATAACCTGCAGGACAGGTAACATAAGGTCTCCAAATTAGCACAGGATCTTATCACTCTGTTGCTGGGCTCTAAGCCAAATCTCTTCTTGTCCTCAGTACCGAGGTTGTGGAACAGGAGCTGATCAGCCAGAAACTCCTCCTTGCTTGTCCTGTAAAGTGCTGCATTTTCATATAGTAACACAGAAGTAAAGAAGGATGTGCTGAGACAATGCTACTTTAAAATGGTGTTTTCCGGAGTGAAGAAAATAGAAAGAACTCTTCATTTTTTCAGCGTATTAATACCAGTACAAAACCAGCTATGCCATAGGATGCTTGTGAACTATGATTACTCTTCAAGTAATATAAACTCAGACTACAGCTAAATGAAAGCTTCTTGAAGCCAAATTTAGTTAGTATAGGATGTGCATATGTACCATTTTCTTCTAAAAAGATCTCAGCTGGGTTTTCAATTTCCTACCCTGCATGTTTTCTATACAAGCATAGAAGCTAAACATTTATAAAAACAGAAACATTTCTGAGCTAAAGTCTATTCCTGCAGATGAAGCTAGACATTTCTCAGAAGAATATGATTCTGTTTTGCAGGAAAGAATCCCCTCTTTTTGTTGGTAAAAATTATACCAAAACACAGTTGTCTAGTTACTAATACCTCAGCTGAAACACCTCTGGAATTTCATATGCAAGACCTCTTTAGAGAATCTAGAAGTACATACAGCTGCTGCCAGTGTCTGTCAAGTAATACAGTGGGACAAAGAATGGTATTATCTATGTAAAATTCGGTATCAAATCTTACATGCCAGAGACAAAAAAGGTTACATCAAAACTTTAATTGTAAGGCTTTCACTAAAGTCTTACACCATAGATGGGGCTATCCCAGTCAAGAACTCCAGAAAACAAACTTTCTTCCACTGATCTGGGTTCTGTGATGACTGTTTCTGTTAAAAAACTTCAGGTGATCTCTGGCCATGTCTGAGTCCATGGAAAATGAAACCAGTGTGGCTTTTCAGCATTTGGAAGTTTTGATTCCTCTTCAGTACTTCAGAAGGAAGTAGTCAAGGTAAGAAAACATATACTGATGACTGTGAATGGCTGCAAACTGTTGTTGCCTCTACTGGGTTTGCTGGTCCCAACAATTATGATGGTTTCTTGAGAAAAAGAATAAAAGGAATATGTATCTAAATTAAGACAAAACTGGGAAAAGTGCACTCTTCCTCCTATTGGCTGAAGAATTTTGGGGCACTAATGCCTCCTGCTTTTTCGTTATGCTTTTTCTGAGTAGTACGAAGTCCTGAGGTTGAGGCTTTATTCATGTTCTCTGGCAAGTGTAGCCATCAGCTCAGAGGGCATATCTGCAGGTTTAGATGCAGTCAGTCACATGAATTTTGCTCCTGCTGAGATGACACGGCTTAGGACAGTGCTGCTTCTTGGAGATTTTTTCACAGAGTCCAATGCTAACAGAACCACAAAGGGCTGCCTTAACTAGTGCCGAGGTGTTTTGCATTTAATACAGACAAACCCAGACATTTACTCAGGATTAAACTCTCCAAAGCAAGACTGAAAGGGTAGGCAAGAGAAATTTAATCCATTTTAAAGTTGCTAGGAATATGAAACTTTTAACTATGTGCAGCACACACCAGCAATATTGCCTTCTAAAGCAAAATCAGAGGTACAGTGTCCTGTCTTGTTGCTACAAGAAGTCCCAAGGCAATTGACTTCAGGGTCTTGGATGACTGGTTAAGCAATCAAGAGCACAAGCAGCATTCTCCTCTATCCTTCCAGTTTTGATTCTCAAAAACTGAGTTAGTATTAGTAAAATGTGAGTTTGGTTGACATTTACAGAATTATCCATGTGCTAGGTGCTGAATTTCCATTTCACTGTAATGGGATTTGTACTTCTTACATGAAAGTCTGTCATTAAGACCTTGTTGCAATATTTCAAACATTAATGAATATCAACAGTTTATTTTTCTCCCATTTAACCTTTCTTTCTAAAATTGCATGCAAACGAAACCGCATATATTTGAGTCTATTACAGAAAATTAAGACTACATATTTAAACACATGAAATCAAGATATACTAAAATTAACGCAGCAGATTATTTAGGCTCTGCCTTTGTGTTGGTTTAAATTAACTCAGAATGAGGATTAAAGTTTTCAAAATAACTGCAAGTCTCAAAACTGTAAGAGAAATTACAGTAACATAAATATGCAGCCATATACACATACACTGCATAGAACATGAAAGTGATATTAATTATTATTGTCTTGATTTTCTGATACACTAGGTTATTTGTCCTTAAAGCACAACTTCCTTACCAGTTATGTCTTTTTTTTGCTTTTAATTTGGGATTTAATACACTGACAGCAGCCATAAGAACATATGCTAAACTAAAAGGACTAAGGGATGCTAACCTGACCATGGGACCAAACAACCCATGATATGACATCTGAATATGAAGAGCAACTGAACCCAGTCAAGCCTTATTTCAGTGAAGGAAGTACTTTGTATCCTGACACACAATCATATTTTTAGAAGCACACGTGGTTCTGTCTGAGTGCTGCCAGCAAACTATTATCTTTGGTTTACTGCAAGAAATGCGACTCAACCAACAGATACTCTGAGGAGCTATAAGGCACCGGGAAAAGGTAATTCCTTTTTGGTTGATTCCCCCATTAATTCAGGTAGGAACTGTGGGCTGGAAGGACTGCCACTCTGTGTCTGGCTACTACAGTCAGCAGCAGAGGTACCTAAAAGTGGATGTCTAACTTCAGAAAGGTCAGCATTCCTCACTTGGGAGGTTTTCATTTTTGAAATTTACAGTAAACCATACAAATTCAATGGGCCTTCCCAGCTACTCACATGGACATTAACCCACAAGGTTAATGTCTTTTTGCATTCTAAGTGCCAAGACTAGTGATTTCAGTGGTGGTGAAGTCAGTAACCGCAGGATTATTTGCATGCTCTGGGAAGGAAGGAGGACATAAGACAAGTGATCGGCATTGATCCCATAACCGTAGCCTAGATGTCATCATGTTTCTTGCTAAGAAAAGTCTATTGCCACCAAATTAGTAATTGTATACTTTCAGTGCTGCAGCAGATCTACTCAGTATCATCCAACCCTTGGTTCCAAGGAAGGTTTTAGGTCTCTATAAGCTAAGTCATTAGGACAAGGTGAAAAAAAACAGCCCCTACCAAGACATCAAAACAAACAAAAAAAATACTGATTTTAAAAGGCTTAGCTTCAGAAACTACAAAACTTACAGCTACGAAAACCTACAAATTACTCCTGTGAGAGGCTTGTAATCAGGACTGTAGACAGGGGAGTTCTTGTGGAAATGAAAATTGTTTATGAAAATGTGAATATCCCCAAAGTAATTTCTCTTTAACTATTGCCTCAACAGAGAGCCCTCTAATTGAATTTTCTCCATTTGTGGGGATTTTTGCTTTCTCTCTCCTCCAGTCATTATGGGCCTGTATTTCATCATTATCTAAACATATGTAATCTCCCCAGTCTACAGATTTTTTAGTTTTATAGCTTAATGGAAAATGTTGTTCTAAAATTGCAGTTCCAAGGCACTAGATCAGCATGTGGAATGTTTGCCCCTTGTATTAATGTAATCAAGTGGATAAAACTACCACTGTTTCAGTACTGCCTAGGTAGTAACACTGCAGAACGTTATCCCTTTCTTACATTAAACCTCATCTGGGCCTACAAGGCTGCTCTCATTTTTAAAGGGCTAATATGATTGATGGATACTTCAGAAGAATAAAGATAACAATTAACTTTTGAAAGCATCACTTTAAAAATGGCTTTTATTTGAAAACTGATCCAATTTACTTAACTTTATTTTTCTTGCTTAAGAAATATGATGGTGAGAATGAAATATGTAGCTAGCAGAGCTCTTGTTTAAAAATTAAACACTTTGGGAAAAAAGTTAAAAATTAAACAGTTAGAAAAAATTAATTAAAATCGTGCTGTGCCTTTACAGGGATTTTTTTTTTTCAAGAGCGAATGATAAAGCTCTACAATGAGCTAAGAATAATCTTCTAAGTTATAATTAATTGGTACATACTCGCTCCTATTTAAATACGTTCTAACAATTGGAGATACACTTATAAAATTGGACCATAATTATTTATCTTCTGGGCAAATTGTGTTCTAATTTTTTAAAATGTAATTGCACATAGTTTAGACAGTTCTTTGATTAAGTGACGAATTTCAATACTATTTAGGGTACTATTTGACAAAGAAATTAATCAGAAACATTATTCTTTATTTTTGCAACTATTTAACATTTAACTTAAGCCTATTTTTCTTGATGACTATATTTATAGTCTTGTTTAATAGGTTACAAGGCTCAGATAAGAAATAAACCCGAAGCATTGGTACTTTGTTGGCAGATCTGTAATACAGATTCTGTTATAAGGAGCAGCACCACACAAGGTTCATTTTTTAAGACGGCAGTCCCAAAGCTTATACTCCCATTCTCTATTACAAACTCCAGGAGCCATGCTGCTGGCACCAATGTGCACACAGAGGAGGGGAGCATCCTTTGCCACAGCATATACCCAGTCTGAGGAAAAAGGGCAGAATTTCCCCTTGAAAATTGAGGCACAGAGCTGCGATGGACTTGACATTCAGGTGCCTGGCACGCATTGATTTCAGGGGATATTAATTGAGGATGTGGCTACTCAGGGTGTCAGTGGCAAAGATTTTAACGACTGAGTGGTGAGTTAA